CACGCACACAAACACACACACTCACCCACCCACTCTCTCTCTCCCCCCCCCCCACACACACATCTTCACCCGCATGCACAATCTTACCACGGACAGGTGTGCGTGTGCATCAGCTTCTGCCATTTCTTGGAACACCACATCGGAGAGTTGACTGGCACACTCACAGGCAAGAAACATGACTGCCAGACAAGCCATCCAACCGGGGCTGCCCCAGACCACCATCGGCCCGGCGGCAAGGGCGCAGGCAGCCCCTGTCCTGGCACCAGCGCAGCCGCCGCCCTGCACGCTCGCGCGTCTGCTCGGCGGGCCTGTCGCTACTTTGTATATATGTTTAGCCTATTTTTGTCATCAAAACATGTTATGAAGTTGCGACCTGAAAACCTATCCTCCTCAAATCCTGTTGATCTCCTAAGCCCTGGAAACCCCTCAAACCCCCCAAAACCCTGTTTTCAGAGCTACTGAAGAGCCGCACAGACCCAACAGAGCTCGCGGCCCTCGCAGCCACACCCCCATCCACCGCCGCCAGCGCCGCCGACGGCCCCGCCGCCGCCAACGGCGCCCCTGGGCCCCGGCCCGCCGGGGTTGCCGGCAGCCCCGCGGCGCTCCCGTTCACTCCCGGCGTCCCGCTGAGCGCGCAGCAGCAGCAGCAGCAGCAGCAGCAGCCGTCGGACCCATCGCGGCCAGGTACCGGTGCAGGCAGCAGCGGCCGCCCGGCCACGGGCACCGGCAATGGCACGGGCGCAGCGTCCACCTCTTCATCCTCCATCGGCGCCGCCTCGGCCGCGGCGCGTCGGGTCATGGCGAAGCCCCTCGCAGACTTTTCGGCGGCGCGGCGGGAGTGGACGCTGAAAGTGGCAAAGGCGGTGGCGCAGGGGTTCCTGCAGTGCGCGCAGGGTGGGTGGTTTGGGTTGAGGGATCTGTGGGCCTAGAGATGGGAGGGCGAGTGCTTGGCCTTGCTCATGGTCCGTGCGGAAGAAGCCGCGGACCGCACGCCTTGCATGATCGGGCAGGTGCCTCCCATGCTGAATTCACACGCGTCGGTGACCCCCGGGCTCGCTCTATCTTTCAACACGCGCGCGCACACACATAAACATGCGCGCGCGCGCATGCACGGTTCGACTCTCCATTGCCGTGTGTCTGTTCGCGGCTGCCGTCTCGGAACGGTTGACGGGCGACATGTCATCACTATTGGCATGCAAACGCCCCCCACCCCACGCCCACCTCCACCCGCCTGCCTGCACTCCACCGCCACACCCAACCTCTAACGCCATACCTTCACTCACCCCCCAAACCCCAAGGCTACCTGTCCAGCAGCGCAGCCTTCAAGGAGGCGGACGCGTCGGGCGCCGAAGCAGGGGTGGTGTCTGCCGGCCTAGTGGACGCCCTGCAGTGGCTGCAGGTGCGTGAGGCGTGCGGCGTATGTGTATCCAGACGGGGGGCCGCGTTGTGTGTGTGTGTGTGTGTGTGTGTGTGTGTGTGTGTGCGCGCGCGCGCACGCGCGCCAGGGGTGTGTCAGGGGTGTGTTCGTGCATATGAAGGGGGTCTGTGAACGTGTTGCTGTGGCTGCGGGGAAAGCTGTGTGTGTGTATGTGAGCGTGAGCGCATGTGTGTGAGGTGGGTCTTTCCAGGGCCCTCGCCTGTAGCTGTACATCAGGGTGCTCCGCGGCAGTGTGACGCCCTGCCATGTGCAGGCCGAGTTCTCAGGACCCTCCGTCCTTTAAATGCCCTGATCATCTGAACGCCTGGGCGGGGGCCCGGCCCCACCTGCAGCCACAATGTAAGGGCATCTGCCTCGGCTCAGCGCCACCCCCCCCCCCCCCCGCCCTTCGCACCCCCTTCAAACACGGGACGAACCCATCAAAACGCCACTGCCACGCCCTGCCTGCTCCAGGGGGCCCTGGCGGCGCTGGCGGGCCAGCTGGACCGCGACTGCTTCCGAGACTGCCTTCGCGCCACCGCGGCCGCCCTCAACAGGTGCCCTTCATCTTCCCTCCCCGACCCGGCCTCGTTCGTTTCGAAACGATTGGGCGCCGAGCACGACCGATCCGCGTCCGCCTGCCTCCGGCTCGGGCTGGCCGCGGGGGCGCGGCGGCGAGCCCTCGGCCGCTTCTGACGCCGCCGGCGGCCTGTGCCCCTTCTCATCCGGCCCCACCCCTACCTACACACACACACACACACACACTGTCACACACACACCTTTTCACGGACCCGCCGTCCTCAATCCTGAAATCGACGACCAGGGTGCTCTTCAACAACGTGGCCACAGAAATGGTGTTCAGCCCTGCGGGGGCGCGCCAGCTCGCGGTGGATGTGGGGGCCCTCATGAGGCTCTTCCAGGTATCGCCGCGGGCTGGGGGCCGGGGCGGCTGGTACCGCTCGCAGGGGATGCAGGGGATGCGCATGCCCTGCTCCACCCCCCTCCTTTGCCACCCACATGACGCACATACAACGATGGCACGCGCGCGCGCACACACACACACACACACACACACAAACACACACGCGCACGCACACACACACACGCGCGCACACACACACACACACGCACACACACTCACACACACACAAGCACACGCACACACACCCTCCTCCATACCCGGGGCTCTTTTTGCTTGTGGTTTCACGCCGCTTCAGCCCCAGGGTGACTACCCCTCCCATCCATCAAACCGGCCCTCTTCCCAAAGGGGCCGCCACCAACGTCAAGGACCCCCCTCCACTCACCCCCTTTCCCCTTGCCCATCTCCCATCTACACCTTCCTCCCCCCAAAATGGCCCTCCACCCCACTCCCCTCCCCGATCAGCCCCCCAACACCCCACCTCGTACCCCCCTGAACCCCGTGCCAAACCCCAAATCAAAACCCGTGACCCGTCCACCAC